AGGAAGGAAGGAAGGAAGGAAGGAAGGAAGGAAGGAAGGAAGGAAGGAAGGAAGGATGGAAGGAAGGAAGGAAGGAAGGAAGGACGGAAGGAAGTCTTTTTAAGTCTCAAATTTGCTGCCATACCCTGGGAAAGAATAGCAGGATCTAGCGTTGGACATTACATGGCCCTTCAAGCCTACCTAAATAATTTCACACTTTAAAGGATAACAGGAGAGGAAGTAAGATCATCTCCAAAATGTCAAGTGTCTTACTGAAAGACCATCCACATTTGAAACAGGAGTTTGCCTGTACACAAATTTGAGAGAAAATGAGAACAAGGCAAGCATGTAACAACACCTCCCCCATATGCTCTCCCAAGTTCCAGCTACTTGTCGGTCACTGATTTCTGCACACAGAAACAATACATTCCATTTAATGTCCTGCAATAGATTTTTCTTCCACTAGTTCACAGTCATTCATTAAACCAAATTACCCCCATTTATCCCCTACTTACAGCATCTGAAAGAGTTCCACAGCTAACTACTTTATATCATAATGATAGACCTACTTCAATGTTTTTTTAATACTGGATTTGTTTAACTTATTACAATGCACAACAGAAACCAGCCAGTCTAGGTTCTTAAAAACACAAACGTTGGTTTTGAACATTTAGCTGAAGTATCACTTAAATACCACAATCTATTTCCGTATAACAGACTTTCCAGAGCACTGTATTATAGGACAGTGAAACCAGTGCACAAAATAAGCCTTCTGATTTAATAGAGTGCTTATGGCACACATTTTAAAAGTGAATTAATCCCAGCCCTACCACTAACTTGTTGTGACACTTAGGGCTTTCCACTTCACCTCACTATATATTAGTATTTTCCATTGTACAATAGACATAATGACACTTCACCTGCTTTTGAAGCCTCGTGAGAACTGCAGCAATAGAGTACTACATAAAAAGATATATGCATTTATATTGAAATGCATCTATTCAGAAAGACCATCAATTTCCAACTCACTAGTTAAAACATCTTTATTAGCATTCATTCACAAAAAGCATATGAAAAATTTACCTGCTCATTTTTGCAGATCCACACGGTATTCCCCTGAAGTAGAATAAAGATTTTGGCTTTGTATCCTTTCAGCTCAAGATACCCACTTTTCTCAGGGGCAACAGAAGTTCGAGACTGAGAGTTATTATCAGACTGCAATTTCAAGGCACTGAGCATTGTATTAACCCAGTCGTTCCTTTCCTCTAAACAAGAAAAAAAATAGACATGGTTAAGCAGCAACTCCGTTCTACTCTACACACTGGTTTTCCTGTTCCTACTATGCTATGCTGGTGGACGGTATAGCTATACCACATCACAGAGAACATCCAACTTGAAGAGGAGGTGTAAATAAATACAATATAAGTGGAGATCTTAAGAAAGTCAGCCATTCAATTAACTCCCAACTATCAACACACAAACTGAAAGTTAAACAAACTGATGATTAAGATTTTTTAAATCATGACTACTAGATCTAAGATGCTTAATTCCAGATAGCTTAAAGACTGTAGTGGTAGACAGGTGTCATTCTGGAAGCCAAAACAATGGGCAAGAACTACAGAAGTTTTGTAAGCAAAATCAGGGAGCCTCAGTATCATCTGTCACTAAAAAGGAAAGCCATCACCAATGATATTCTGTGCTTGGTCATGCTTTTAAGCAAAAACATTTGGCAATTTACAATGTAGTCCATTAAGGTGTAGTGGTTAAGTTTGATATTGTCAAGGGTACTGAGTAATCAAGAAAACGCAAGTTTGAATATCTTTGCATGCATTATTAATTTAACAACTTACAAATACATGAACACAAGTAGGTGAAGTAATAAAGTTCCACTCAGTCTCATTCACTATGTTCAGGTATTTCACCAGACTAAGATCAATATACTTTAATGCTGAATACTCTGAATGAATTAGACTTCTCCCATGAGATTGGAACATCATGAATATTTCAACTCTTTGCTCTGAAAGATTCAGGTCATAAAATATAAGGGGGGGTGGGGGGAGGGGAGCACGGAAGGAAATGCCTAACATATATAACACCGTATATATAAAGTTGACACCATCAGTGCTGAACACTGCAAAGGACACTGTTAAAACAGTATCATGCTTACTTCATAAGTGTCACGTGCAACAAGAAGGAACAAATACACGAATTTAAGCATCAGAAAACAGTTTGAAGAAGAGGAAGATAGCAGCCTGACAGACTAGCGCAGGGAAGGTGATCCAAGTGCTCCTCTTTCATATACACTCTTTTAAAGTACTTTGAAAAGATCACTGGAATATTTCAGTACAGTTGAGGGCATTGAATTACTCTAGAAGATTTTCTTTTTAATGGCATTTCACTCCAATTAAAGAAAACCTCGCTGCATCTGAGCAGATTCTGCTCTAATTCATTGCTATCCCTTAACGACTTAATTTTTTGTCCCTAAACTTTCCAAAGCATTATAGAGTTTCTCCCTCTAGATATTTAAATAAATGCAAAAATAGTGGGGGTTTTGATATAAAAAAAAAAAAAAAAAAAAAAAAACAACCCCCCCCCCAAAAAAAAAAAACACACAAAAAACAGAGCACTGTAAGGAAACAAAACAAGCACTATGATCCAATGATTGCAGGCCAACATTGGTACCAATGGGCTCAGGTCAATTTGTCATAGTATGCTTTTAATCTGATACTGCAGCAGAAAGAAAGGAAAGTTAATAAATAAGGTCCACAGGACAAAATATGTATAAAAGCCTCTATTTCAAAATCTCTGAAAAAAAGTTAAGTACCCTTTGAATAGTCCCAGAACATTTCCCAACCACAAAACCACAGAAGGAACATCATCAAGTAACAGTCTGCACACATAACAGAAAGCAAGCAAGGGTTATTTACATAGTTTACTATGTATATATCATCCAGCTCAGGGTACAGTAAGGACCAAATTAGTTTCTAAACTTAAGTGAACAGATTTACCGACAGGCCACTATGTCCAAAGATGTTTATATACTAACTAAAAATACAATTTCATGTATAACAAGTGGTTGCTCTGAATGTATTGTATAAGTCATATAAGTTGTTAACATTTTTATAGTATTCAAAAGCAATGGTCCATAAAGCAAATTACGGCCCTATAAAATGTACTGCACTAAGATGGTTACATTCCAATTTATTAAAAAAAGTTTAAAAAGGAATTTGGAAGAGAAAGGCAAAATCATAAAAACAGACATACTTTTTAACTCAGCTAAGAGCCTAAAAATGTCTGAAATTATTTGAGCCAAACCTGATAAGAAGGATTTGTTCACTGATGCTGCACTCTGGTTACAGCCTACAGCGAATGTTTACAACCAAGCTATAACCCATAAAAACAGTATTTGATAATGGAAATGCTGAGAGACCCTTAGCTATAATGGGTCTGGCATGTACTGCTGTAAATATATATTGCATATCTTTTTTTTCTAGGTATTCCATTTTATTTGATTGTTTCCATAAATAAGTCATACATGCACTGATATTGATTTCACATATTACAGCTGTAGATTGACAAAGCATTAAATTAGAAGGCATATTAACTTCCCTACGACAATTTACATTTGTATTCTCTATCAATACATGGCTGAAAATACCGTATAAGGCAGTAAATACACACAGAAAAGAACAGATTTCCTTTTATCACAGCATCACATTCAAGCCATCAACTTCATTGTTACTCTTTGTCAATTTTATACCAAGTGGTGACTCGGAGCAGATGGCTGAGAGTACACAGGCCATAAGAGCTACTAGTGAGACCTGAGGAATGTCCAAACAAATTGATCTTTTGGAAGGATGGGGGATGAGGCAGAAGAGTTGGAAAAGAGCATTCTCATTTTGATATTTTTAGAAGCCATTCCCCAAAAATTTCAGATGTTCTCACAAAGCTTACAGTTATGTCCAGTTTCACTTTATGAGCCCCAAACAGCTGGATTCCAGAAATATTTCTGGTAATGTAACAAGATATATTTCACAAACATAATTTAACAGCAGTGACTACATGTCTTTTTGTCAATCACTTCATCAATATATGTTATACTTACCTTCCTTATCCACACGGAAGACGAAAGTCCTATGGGATGTGACAACTTCAAATTTATTCTCCCCATGAACTCTTACTGTTGATATAGCAGAGAGCAGTATTATTCCCTTTGAGAACACTTCCTATAATAAAAATGCAATAGAAATAGTTACTAACTCTCATGGAACATTAAATGTCTCTCAGGTAATGCTATTTGCCATGACGTTTCAGAAGTTCACATACACAGGTTTTGCTCCTAAAAGTTCATGATACTATTAATAAAACTGCATCAATATCTAAACCACTTCACTACCTACACATCACTGACTTCACTGTTCTGGGTCCATCTGTAAAATCCCATGGCGAGATAGAATGCATATATTTGAGATACCATTTCATAAGTTGTCTTATGGCACTAATATTGCAAGATACGGGGGGGAGTAATAGAGCGACTTGGTGGATACCTGGCATTTAGCCAAGGTCAAAAAAACACAATCACGCTCTCCTAAATTTACAATTTTATACCAAAGTAAATTACATTGACTATCTTACAGAACCATAATTAAAAAAATATGTAATTGTTATACTTGTAGAATAGAATCAGACAAGGGAAAAAAAACTGTGCCTTCTCCAGGGAAAAAATTACAAATAATTTTTCTGTTCCTTTCCCACTACTTCAATGAGTAGCCAGTAAGAAAAGTAAATTCACTGATTTTATCCCTGATCTTGAAATCAAAGAGGGTGACCACTCTCTGGAAAAATCCATTGCCCTGTCATTACTGACAAGAATCCTCTAGCTTTGATCAGGTATGTACTTTTCTGCTACATGAGTCAGAAGAACAATGACTCAAAAACATCATTTGGCATCAGAGCAAATTTTCCCAAAATTTGCTGATTTTGAACTATGAATTGGAACAGCTGAACACAAAAGCAAGATAGGAAAAAGGAATTGCTATAAGTACTTTATCCAAGTATCTTGTCTTTTAACCTAATTAACCAAAATATTTGGGGGTCGCAGTGGAAAGGAAAGGTCAAGCAGACATAAATACTTCTGCACCATTCCTGGATTACGGAGTTAATGCTGCTGCTCCTGTCCCCACTATGCTTTGATCAACTGGTTTTCTACACTAAGACAATTCAGATATGCTACTAAGATTTATGATCCAGATGCAATAACAGTCCAAGAGTCAGCTCCCCAAAAGGATTTGTATTGCAGTAACTTTCCTCCTAAAGTATAAATTATTATCATAGACTTTATACAAGGACTTAAGGAACCACTGTGAATGCTAAGCATGAAGGATACACAGGATCATTTTTTTGTTTACTAAGTTTAATACACCTGATTTTTACCAAATTCACACTCATGTTTCACTTCCATGTAATAATATACGTCAGTGAATGCAGTTTAGCACATAAATAGAAACATCGACATACAACTAAAGTGAATGTGTTACTATAATTACAGACAACTACTCTGTCACTCAGAATAATCTTAGTATTGCACATCTATTTTCATTGTCAGAAGAGAGATTTTAACGTATTCATTAATAAGGTTGGATATTATGTTAACTAGCACTCCTTCACAATGGCAAAGCAAACATTACATATTTGATTTCTAAAGGTGTTCAGATATAATTATATTATGGTGTTTGCAGGCATCTACTGGATGTATTTGGTACTGTAAGACAATAATTCAGACTGCTGGAAGTCACAGCTATTTTATTTTATTTGCTTAAAATAAAAAGTCAGTCTCCTTTTAAGCTGAGCATAGTTTTGGTTTTGCTATTTAAAAAATAATCCTTTGTTCTCCAAGGCATACATATTTCCAAATACAGTTTAAACCATAATAATTTCTCAATCTTTCTGCTGCTGCAGCTTCTGTCTCATATGCAAGAAATAATGTCTACTGTTAAAAAGCTCTTGTTGATCAAGATACAATTTCTCTCTTTGAAATACTCCAAACAAGAAATTAAGGAAATTATTTAATATAGAAAATAAAACCAAACACAGCCAAGAACCTCACAGTCTTCTGTTACTGAGAGGTGTACATGAGTTTTAAGGCTGCTAAAAATTTTCCAACAGAATAATTTTCTAGTGGGGAAACAAAAAGTTTTTTTGCTGTCAACTTCTCTGATGAAAACTTATTTTCAAATACAGCTCAGTGTCACTCCTTGATAGTTCTATTTCACAGTTGGGCTAAAAGATCCTGGAAAACACCATTTTTGCACTGCTTTGGCTTTCCTTCCACAACACATTAAATATGACCTGTTTCAAGAATGGCAATGATTCACCTGTTTTGCAGTGAATTTTGTGTTTTGTTATGTTTGCATGCAACATAAAGAAAATATTTAAGTTCTCCACATTAAAAGGCAAGGTTTTTTCCTAAATCAGTAATATACTTGTCCAGGGCTCTAAGATGTTTTTAAATAAAAACTTTCAACATAAAAAGCTTTACTTTACAGCTTTTCACTTTACTGTAAAGTACATGTTAGAGCACTGCAGTTCTTCTGCCAAAAATACAAAGAATTTTGAAAGAAAAACTGTGTATATTGTGTAGCTGAGAAGAATTCTCAAATTATACCTTCCTCTCTTCAGTTTGCTCTCACTTCAGTTAACCACATTCCGTTAAGACAAAACCACACGGGATGTTGCTGTGACCACATCAATTTGCTCAGGACCACGAACATAGAAGGAATGAGCAGCAACCCAGATTTGAACAAAAACTATCTGCTGTTTATACTAAATGAAATATTTTTTTCATATATTTAGATGAAAGGTAAAGAACAGATCTCTATTGATTAGAAGCTGACATACAACTAGATCAAGGTTAGAGAAAATTAAGGTTTCAGTCATTCAGAAGTGTTCAGATGGGTTAAGTACACATTTTTAGGAATACTACCCTCTGTGTCTTCCCTATCTATCCTCCACTTCTTTCATTCTTCATTAGCCATGTAGCACACTTGCCCTTCTTGAGAACCTTACTTCTCTCAAGTTCCTAATGTGAATGACAAATAGAGCTATTTAATATTGGTCATGTTTCTGGATAAACTGAACAGTTTCATTTCACTGAGTCTACCCTTCTCTGCTTGTAATAATCAGAAAAATACTCAAGTATGGATTTCCTTTTGAGAACTACTATTAATTGATATGGGAAACCAAAAGTGTAACAATTCCTTTATAACATGCTTGTCTGTGTAGGAAGATCCTTGGACGAACACATTAGAATAGACAGAACTTGCTATTAAGATCAGAAGTGAAAACAACTTCCCTGTTTAAATAGATAAAGATATATAAATAGCTAGCTACGTAGCTAGAAGGAGGGACCCACTGCCTTGCAATGAACTATACCTGTTTTTTGCCAGAACCAGCTCCTGAGCTGCATGCAGTCTCCATGAGTCTGCAAATAGTTGCTTATGATGTCAAGGTAACAAGACCCAAACAGCAGCAGGAACATATTAGTATCCATGTACCAGGCAATATGAATACTCGGTGTGGGAATAGTGATCCAGCAGAGACCACTGTATAAAAACTCATGTTCCCCAGTGATACCACTGCTCTCCCAACACAATCCCACTGTGCCCTGAGAACCACTGGTAGACAACTATGTTTTCCTCTTATCTCTGCAAGACAGTTCAAGAGTTCCACCAAATCCTCAGTTCCCAGAATTTGCTTCAGGCCTCACAGTTGTCGGACGTACTTAGCATATTTGACTCATCAAGTTAACAAATCAGCCACCCAGATTTGGTCAAACTGTATACACACACAGATCAACCAGCATGTCTTTCAATCATAGGAGTGAGGTTTTGTACTCAGATTCCAGGAAAAGTGAGACAAAGAAGCTTCAGAGCAAGCCTTTTGCAAGCTTCTGATAGTCTAACCAATCACAGAGACCTTTTAAATAGAGAATAAATAGTTGGTAGCCTTATATGCATCATGTGACACATTAAATACTCCCCTGAGAAGAAGGGAAGATTTCTGGAATCTCCTATGAAAGGCAAATGTATAACAAGTACTAGACTAACTGACCTCCAAGTAACTTTTTTAGTGACCTTCAAAAAAAATTAAAAATCCCCAGTGCAGATACAAGATTTAAAATTCTGTATTAGCATTTCTTTCCCTAATTATGCTACAGACAGTGTTAAGCAAATCCCAGCGCTGTGTTTTTCAAGTCTTTCTTAATGACTAACTCTGCTTTTCTGCTTCTCTGAAGCCCTAGGATGAATAACACAAAGGGGTAACATTTTTTGTCACTGCAATCCAAATGTTATTCTATTCTTCCCTTTATCTACAAAATTGTCTTCTACTGCGAGTGAAGCAAAATAAGCAAGTAAAAACAGATTGTTTTGTGGTCCTTATCAGTAGGCATAAAGATCAGTGTAAATAACTTTTTGACTTTTTGTTTTTAATTTCTCTGGCCCGTCAGGAAATAAACAGTCTTTTCTTACTTCAGTTCTAGACCCCACATTATCTGCTAAAATAGAGCTAAGAGTGTGCATGTTATAAAGCATCTATAGGACTCTTACTGAATACCACCACCCAGCATACTGCTCAGGAACTTTTAACTGAAATTGTATTTTGTTCCTAATTTAATATTCATCTTCAACAGGAAATGCTTTCTAGCATTTCAAATAATGAACATGAATAGAACCTCAGCTCCACTGAACACACATATTATACAATCATCTATTACCTTTTAGTTTAAGAAGTTCTTCATTTCTTCCAAGAGGAGAAATTAACTAATCACAGAGCAAAATAAAAATAATTTTGTAATGCTCTAAATTGTATTAAATAAAAATAAAAAAAAAAAGGCGGCAATTTTTCAAAAAAGTCATGTTTAAAGACAGGTCGTCCCCGTCCCCGTCACACACCCCCCCCCCAAAAAAAAAAAAAAAAAAAAAAAAAAAAA